CTAACTTGGATGTTTATTTCACATTATTCTTTAATTCTTGACCACCTCAGCTTGTGAAACAGCATTGAAAATTGTGTCTTAGCCAGGTTCTCCCATTGGAAACATTGTGGTTCAAATGTTTAGTTTGAGCCAACTTATTTGCAGGTTTCCAATACAGGTTTAACTATCTGAGAGGAATGTTTTGCATATTTTTCTCTTATTGAAGCATAACTTCAGAATGTTGATTCTTGAATCCCTACCAATTATGACTGATTCCACTGCAGTTCCAGAGAAACCATTATAATGCAATCTGAAGGCGGTGGTTGATACATTCTTGTGAACTTATTTAGACCTAGATTGGTGGTTAATGATTTGTACTTTTCAAAACATACAGACAAAGTTAGAGTGACAATGGTAGTATAAAGCAGTTGCGAATGCATCAGGAATACCTGAACCACTTGCACTTCTGCTTTATTGTTTTAATTGTGGGATACAGGAGAGCAGACGTAGTGTTAGTGAGTCCCTGATAGATGTGGCAACCATTGTATTGTTGTTTTGACTTGATCCCTAACCAGATGAAACAAATATGTGATCAAATACGGATGAATGCCAACACTGTTTTTGCTAGTGCTTACAATACCTTCACATCGGAAATAGCCTTCAGAAATAGTGTGGTAGTTGTTATAAGTTAACTTTTTCTAGCAGCGAGCGGTTAATTAAGTTAGCATATTCCTCACTTAACTGGGGATATCTGATAGAATCCGTCCTAGGCTGATATGAAAATCTCTGGTAACCCACCAGGTCCCTAAATAAAACAAATGCAGTGTGGAGTGTTTTTCTTAGGTTAGCGTTAAGGTACATGATACAAGAAATTACACACTTTTTACTTGCACAGTGTCTAATCAGACATGAAATTGGGCATTGTCGAAGAAGAAATTTACCTGAACTTCCAATAATGGTGAACATCACTGTAAAGAATTCAGGAATGTCCTGCTGACTTGAAAAAGGCCCAGATGAATGTTTCTATAAATTTTGAATGCAGTTAATAGGAAAGACAAATATAATCGCCCTCATTTTTCCTTCTATTTCAGAAGAGGAGAACCGAACAGATTCTCTTCCACCATTTGAACTGGAGAAAACAGAGTCGCTGCAAAATTCTAGCCTTCCCAAAAGAACCCCAGGAATCACAAATGAAACTGCTGATGGCTCAGTGGCATCCATTCATTACACTAATGCAAAAGAGCTTCAACAACCATATTCTGTAGACACAAGAGACTCGCTTAGCAAAATTAATGAGGCTGACAATAGTTTAGGGCAAGGAAGTCGGCACTTGGGCAAATCTGATGTACCAATAGAGCAGGCCCAGCGTGCTCCACGTCGTGGTATTGAGCAGTATATATCAAGATTTGATGAAGCAATGAAACTTAGAAATCAGCTGATGAGTGAGAAGTCCGATCATGAAAATGGAGGTGGAGCTGAAGAGTTTGGTACGTTCCGTGTTTTCCGATTAGTAGGGAGTGCTCTGCTAGCCTTAATGGTTCGAGTCTTTATATGCAAATACTTGGTGAGTATCACAGCTTGTTGCTGGTATAAAATATTTGTGCATTATGAGGACAGAAGTTTTTCATATACATGAGTATATTTTTGGTAGACGTTTACAGCTCTCCTGCATTGTTGCTTAGTAACTCAAAGGGGTTCTGCTCATCTTCTGTGGGAAAAAATGTACCAAATTTTGTAAGAAATGGTGAAGTAAATATTTTTTAGTTGGTTCCTGGACAATAAATGGTATTTTTCTTTTTCTTATTTTTATATGCTGTGATTAGGTGACCTCTCACCACCTATACTTGGTGATGCAGTCTGTCATCACAATTGAATCCTTTAACCCCACAATCATTCTTGTGTGAATGTATCCTACTGCTTCCAAAACCAGTATATCCTACAAGAGGAATGGTCCCAGAATGGAATACAGACTTGAATTTGTTGACCCATGCTCTACGCAAAGCATATTTTCCTCATCTTTGTATTCCGGCCCCCTTGGATTGAAGACAGATTTTCCAGTCCATTTTGGATTGTGCCTGTTCATTAGCTTTTAATGAATTATGTACGTGGAAGTCCATACTGTATGTCTTTATTGCTCCACATTCCTAGAAAATTGTCTGTCTTGGGTCAAATGTAAGACCTAACCCGCTTCATGTTGAACTTTATCTGTTAGAGTTTTGCCTACTTGTTTATTCTATCCGTGCCCCCATGTAATTTTCTCCTACATCTATGCTGTTTACTGTGCCTCCCAACTTGGTGCCATCTACAGTTGTGGACACAGCCTGCAGACAGGTTGCTGGTAAATATAATTGCAAGCTGCAGTGAGTAGTGTATTGAGTATCATACAATGTATTTTTTTAGGACATACCTCAGGAGAACTTGGCTTTTGCTGGAAGTTTTCAGTTTCCATAACTTTCTGGTGCCTTTTTTGAATTTACAAGGCTTAACTATTTAATCGTTTTCTGCATTTTGTATTTTAATGTTTCTTATAGGACAACAGGCAAAAAAATTGAAAATTGTTTTCAATTCTTTGATACAGGGGGCTATGCTATAACACAATAGTTGCGTTTCAGTGCAACATCGTGTTAAAGAAAATTGCGCGATATAAATAACTGGGCCTATGGGAAAAGTGGGGTTAGGAGCATATCACTAAAAAAACGTAACACAAAGGATAGCACTACTGTCAACAGCTATTCAGACAGGTTGGTCCGACTGTGACAGCAGCATCGCATCTCCTTCTTGGATTGACACAACTGTCGTCACTATTTCCAAAAAGTGCAGGACAGTTACCGAGTTGTTCAGGTCAATACTTATCTCTTAGTCAGCAACGCAATGACAGATTGACTGGTCATTATCATGTTGCTTGTGGGAGAGTGTTGTGTGAAAGTTAGCTGCTATATTTTCTACAATGACTGCAATTCAAAAATACTTCAGTGGCTGTCAAGCTCTTTGCAACATCCTGAGGTTACGAAAGGTGTAAGCCTTTGTAAGCAAGAAGGTCTAGGTTCAAGTCCTGCCTCACAACTTGATGGCTGGGGAAGGTGCGTATCAATTGGCAAATTCTTTCAACACTGCCAGTAGCAGACTATAAGATTAGGAGAGATTCCTGGTCAACCGTGTGACTGAAAGAACATTGGAGACTTTACCACTATCTGTAGAACATAGAACATTACAGCGCAGTACAGGCCCTTCGGCCCTCGATGTTGCGCCGACCTGTGAAACCAATCTGAAGCCCATCTAACCTAAACTATTCCATTATCATCCATATGTTTATCCAATGACCATTTAAATGCCCCTAAAGTTGGCGAGTCTACTACTTTTGCAGGCAGACCATTCCACGCCCTTACTACTCTGAGTAAAGAACCTACCTCTGACATCTGTCCTATATCTGTCACCCCTCAATTTAAAGCTATGTCCCCTCGTGCTAGCCATCACCATCTGAGGAAAAAGGCTCCCACTGTCCACCCTATCTAATCCTCTGATCATCTTGTATGTCTCTATTAAGTCACCTCTTAACCTTCTTCTCTCTAACGAAAACAGCCTCAAGTCCCTCAGCCCTTCCTCATAAGACCTTCCCTCCATACCAGGCAACATCCTGGTAAATCTCCTCTACACCCTTTCCAATGCTTCCACATCCTTCCTATAATGCGGTGACCAGAACTGTACGCAATACTCCAAGTGCAGCCGCACCAGAGTTTTGTACAGCTGCAACATGACCTCATGGCTCCAAAACTCAATCCCTCTACCAATAAAACCTAACACACCGTACGCCTTCTTAACAATGCTATCAACCTGGGTGGCAACTTTCAGTGATCTATGCATATGGACACCGAGATCTCTCTGCTCATCCACACTACCAAGAATCTTACCATTAGCCCAGTACTCTGTATTCCTGTTACTCCTTCCAAAGTGAATCGCCTCACACTTTTCCGCATTAAACTCCAATTGCCACCTCTCAGCCCAGCTCTGCAGCTTATCTATGTCCCTCTGTAACCTGCAACATCCTTCCGCACTATCCACAACTCCACTGACTTTGGTGTCATCCGCAAATTTACTAGCCCATCCTTCTACGCCCTCATCCAGGTCATTTATAAAAATGACAAACAGCAGTGGCCCCAAAACAGATCCTTGAGGTACCCCACTAGTAACTAAACTCCAGGATGAACATTTCCCATCAACCACCACCCTGTCGTCTTACAGCTAGCCAATTTCTGATCCAAACCGCTAAATCACCCTTGATCCCATGCCTCCGTATTTTCTGCAATAGCCTACCATGGGGAACCTTATCAAATGCTTTACTGAAATCCATATACACCACATCAACCGCTTTACCCTCATCCACCTGTTTGGTCACCTTCTCGAAGAACTGTAGTTCTGGACTGTGACATATACATGTGTATGTTGCAATAGCAACTCAGACTCCTTCAGCGATCTTGTCACCACACCACAAGGATATTGAGGGATATGGAACAAAGATGGGAAAATCAGGTTAAAACATAAGTCAACCATGATCGGACTAATTACTTAAATAGGCTGCTGGAGCCTCATCTTGTACCCAAGTCCTGTGCCTCTGTGTTTCCTTTCAAGGTAAGTTAGATATTCTGTTTTTCACTCTCCCCTACATCCTACTTTTCCTGATAACAGACTTGCTGGTTTCTTTCTTTTCAGTTTTAGTGAAGGCTGACAGGGACAATTTCTCTGGGACTCTCGGACTCACAGCATTGTACAAGTACACTGTAGGTATCATTTGCAGAGGGCTCCTGCCTACTCGTTGGAACTGCGTTATCACCAACACAAGTTCACATTTTAGAAATAACGTTCCCTATTCGTCAGTTGCATTATAGTCAATTCGTGTTGCCAGAACATGCGTTATAGCAGAACCCCCCTATTCATTTTGAAAATTGGGTATTGCTGACTACCTAATTTTTATAGTTTTACTTTTATACTTTTCATTTCTGGTTGTTCTTTGCTGTAAATTTCAAATTAGTTGAATTGTGACTTATTACTGTCATTTTATAATTTAGAAACTTTTGAAAAATGTTGAAAGCAAAATCAAGCTCCAACTGCATATCTGGCATTAACATTTACAGCTTAAAAACCTACAAGGCTCCACTTTTGCATGTACTTATTCAATATTTAATTAATGGAGTGTAGACTTAATTGCTTTAAAGGATATAGTTTCACCTTAGCAATTAAATAGTATATTATGCATGAAACAGCACAGGACTGGTTTCCTTACGAAACAAAATGTACAAACCAAATGTTCCCCACCATACATCTTCTGTTAGAAATAAATCATAAATGTGGCATGGGTTATTTAACCTCTCATTTGTGCCAGAGGAGGCTAATGGTTCTTATTCACCAACCTGTTCTGTGAAAAAAAGTGTTGTAGGTGCTCACTGAAAACATTTCATCAATTTTCTAATTGTTATCATCTTAATATACTGGGAAAAAGTATTTCAATAAAGTCCTTCTTCCAAGAATATTTACATGTAAAAAGCAGCAAATGTTTTTTCAAAAAATGATTTTTCAGAAATATTGATTAAAGAAAGAAAGGATTTCATAAAGTGCAAACATGCTCTATTTGTATAAGACTTATAAATTACAAATAAATATGGAAAGAGGAAGACAAAGTAAGCAATGGATTGATTCTATCATAAAACCAGTGAATGGAAAATTAACTGTATGGGAGAGAGATGGCAATGGTGCAGATTAAAGCTAGTCAAGTGGTTCCATGTATGTTTTAATGCCTGGAGAAGTGCTTTTACGTACCAACATATTGACATATTTTTAAATTGACTTGGAGTCCTGCAACATTTTCACCCTTGCAGATTGTGGAAATATTGACGTTTTAAAACAATTATAATATTCAATTGTAGAAATGTTTAGGAAATGATTTCTAGATCATCTCTCATAATTTGAGAAGCTGCAATCTGAGCTGGAGTACAGTTGTAATGTTTAGCTGCTAATCTCATTTGCCTTTTTAAATCCTGAGGCCAATTGAAATCCTGCAGTTAATCCTGTTTGAGAAAATTTCTGGATACATGGTATCTGTAAATGATGGATTTACACTCTTCTCTTGTCAACAGAATTTAACATGTGGCTGACCCCACTGTGAAATGCTTAATTGTGTTTTCTATTTGTTGTTTAGATACTACTTCATATTTGATTAAAGGTGTGAAAATTTTTACATGGATTGATTCTTTGCAAATATGTCTTTAGAATCTAAAATTGTCACTTTTCACTTTTAGTATGAAAATTGCATAGTATCAAATATTTATGATCTTCCCACTGCTATAGGGAAATTAAAGTAGTGCAGTTACTCAATTAGTCAGTTCTGAAGAAGGGTCTGTGGACTCAAAGCGTTAACTCTGTTTTCCCTCCAGATATTGTCAGATCTGCTGAGTTTTTTGTGTGTTTCGTGTCGGTTTTTTGTTTCATATTTCCGCCATTTGCAATTTGTGCTATTGTAGTTACTCAATTGTCCAGGTCACGTGGTTAGAATACTTATGGTCAGAATGGTTGGTAGATATTCTCAAAGATTTAATGCAAACTTGCTTTGGTTCATGTATCAATAAACAATTACTGAGACATTGAATCTATGGAACATTTCTCCTTGCCACTCTGCGTTGCACAGCATCTGTGATCAAGACCTGACTACCCTTGTATTCCTATACATGTTTAGATTGCAGAACTTTCAACTGTAAAGTTGCCAACATTAGTAAGTCACATATCAGATAATCTGCAGATTGAAGTTAAAAAATAAGCAGTTGATGTTCTTATTAATATCAAAGATTGAGTCACTAAGCACATATAATTAGTTTTCTCTCTTCTGTCATTGTGGTAGCTCCTTAAGAAGTGTTTTTGGAGGCATTTGTAATATACTAAATGTAGTCAGTGACAGTACAAATCTGGAATAATTGTGCAAGTACGACAATAATTGTACAGTTATCATAAGTCTTGCTTAAATATTCCACTGAACAGCAGGTAAGAAATATTTCATATTTTTTATAGTTATGGTGCCAATTACACTCCATAGAAATAATGGAATCTTAGTTAACCAAAGATGATCTCCAGCCCATTCACACATACTTGGCCTTTGAAAGAACTGGCCAATATAACCCCAAAGTCAGCTTTTTTGTTTTTTAATATCATTAATGTTTTTTGTTTTAATGGATTTTTTCCTGTCAATATTTTGCAGGCCATTTTTGCTCCATTTCTTACACTTCAACTTGCATATATGGGCTTATCAAAGTACTTTCCAAAGGTATGATTTAAATCTCTTAAGTGTTCTGCAATTATATGTGATGCGAAGTTAGTGGAGTTACATCTTCAGAAACGACTCCTATACATAATGAAAATGATTTTTAGGTTTCTGAACCCATTTCTTTCAGTTAGCATTCAACAATTTGCACTGTTTATGTTCTTTCTGGTGATTTAATTTCTTGAGAGAAGAAAATAAACAAGCAAATTAAACATCATGGAGAATAAGCTGCAAATTTTCATTGGATTTCAGATTGGTTTAAAAATTTCAATTTGTTGCAAAATAAATCTTGTGACAGAAAGGGATATGATCTAACCTTTCCCTCAAAATCAGCTTCGTTATCAGTTGTCTATTTGTCTGTATCCTCTTTAAACTAGTTAGAAGTTAATACTCTGCAATTAATCAAAGAATTCTTAGATCTTCTATGGTTCTTGAAAAATTACTTGTAATAATCGTTTTGTTTCTTTAACAAGTTTTAGCCAAACTTATCAAAAACATATCACAAAAAACACTTTCAAAGTGTGAATATGGAGATTAATTTCCATATAATAAGGATACATTTGGTTAAAAGATCATTATTTATTGGGAAATATAGCTGCACCTTGATTTTTTTTTTTCTCTTTACTATAGCCAAAAACAGCAGCTGCCTTTCTGATTGGGTGGGAGGAGAAAAAAATTAAAATTACATTAGAAGTGGTGACTAGAGGAATTACCCATAATCCACAACCACAATCCAGTATGTCAGTAAATAATTTTGATCATTCGGTTCTAGTTTTTGCTTTGACTGTTACTTGCTGAGCTCTAGAGTATAAACAGTTTTTCTTTAAAACAGCTGTTTACTATTCCTATGTCTACATGACTTTCGCATGAGTGAACTTCTCACTGCATTGTTGTTTGGTCTGCAGACAACATGTGATGTTGAAGATTAATAATGACACTGAATGAAGCAATCTACATTAGCGGTTAATGCTATCATTTGCTCTGATATATGTAAGTGTGTCAGTGGAAGTGCCAAAAACAACTGCACACATTTATCACTCCAAACTTGAAGGATTGCAGGAATATGAGATATTTCATTTGGGAGAAAATCTTGCTAACTATGAATCTGCTCCTTCATAGAGTGAGAAGAAGGTAAAGACTACAGTACTGACTGCTGCCCTGCTTCTGTCAGGAATCCCTGCTGAAGTCATCAACCGCTCTATGGATACATATGGAAAAATGGGAGATGTGTTTGCAGACCTGTGTGTCTATTTTTTCACCTTTATATTTTCTCATGAAGTAATTCTTTTTATTGGTGTTGATTTGCCTTGATGTCATTGGGGCATGAGAAGGAGACAAGAACAGTACAAGTTTTGTTTAATCTAACTTTGCCATTTCCACTATGTCATTCATCAGTCTTAATGGGCACTGGATTTTTCAGAAAGTTGCAGGCTATCCAACCCTTTTCTGAATTACTATATTCAGAAATATCTGAAATAAAAAATGAACAGATAAAACTAAATTGTTATAAGCTTAGGAAAACATTTTGCAGAGATTTTAGCTCCACATATTAGTGTTATTTATGAACCAAGTACAAGAAGAAATATTCTTCCTTTAATTTAGGCAGATTTTGACATTAAATGTTACGTTGGTACAGTTTTCGAAAGCTGAGTTCAAAATGTACAAAAATTTCATGTTTGGCTGCACATACATCTGCATATATATGAGATAACAAGGTGTAGAGCTAGATGAACACTGCAGGCCAAGCAGCATCAGAGGAGCAGGAAGGCTTATCGTTTCGGGCCTAGACCCTTCTTCAGAAAATTTTCTGAAGGATTTTCTGAAGAAGGGTCTTGGTCCAAAACGTCAGCCTTCCTGCTCCTCTGATGCTGCTTGGCCTGCTGTGTTCATCCAGCTCTACACCTTGTTATCTCAGATTCTCCAGCATCTGCAGTTCCTACTACATCTGCATATATATGTCTGCTTATAAACCACCTGTAGTGCAATAAAAATGCAGCCTTTAGCATAGACATTTTTTGTTTGAAAAGTTAACACGACTGTGAATATTACAATTGTCTATTTGACATCTATCTGCATTGGTTTGATACCATGCTTTACTAGGAAGATCCCACTGTCCAGTGTGTTTCTTATTTGACTTTAATTGTAACATATTGTGATTAAGTTATTTTACCCATGTTTTGTATTTATATTGTATTAAATCATCTTGGTTATAGTAACTTGTTGGATACTATGCATTTCCTGTAAGTTGTCAAGGAGCAGAGCGAACATTTTCATTGTGCAATTTAAGATTCATTAAAAGTTAAATGCATAACACTTCAGAAGTTATTCAAAATGCTCGTGAAAATGTATCCCAAAAATTCCTCTGTTGCAAAATATTATTTGACAACTGATCGAACACTTCCCGTTTTCATCTTTATCTGACTAGGTTGTATTGGAAATTAATGTTTCTTTTATGCAATGGCACTTTAGCTTGGAAAGGAAAGTGCAGGATAAATTAGCAAGGTGGGGTGTAAAGGGTGTAGTATGGGAAGGGCAATCTACTTTTTGTTTTACTGGCTGCAAAGCATGCCATCTAATATTTATTAACTCAAATTCTGGAATTTTAAGTAAAATCCCATGTCAGATAAATCAGGTTTCCTCTGAATGTCCATGTTTATTCAAAGAAGCATCTCCTATTGATACATAGTGCCAAAAGAGACTTTACCAAGGTTATTTGTTTCTTCAGTGTCACATCAAAACTAGTCCTCTACTCACTTCTTGTCACATACACATTACCAGCAGAGGTCATTTAATTAAATGTTTCCATAATGAGGTCATGTATGTGGTAGCTAGGGAACATGTATGTAACTTATTTGAAAGTGGTAATATATCACATATTTAACATAATAATCCTGCAAAAAAAATGACCCAAAGAAGATAAAGTGTGCAACTTTGGTAGACTTAATTTTGCCAAAATTGAGCGGTGGATGTGGTAGACAGTGGTGAACAGTCCTAAGTGTCATCTGACAAGGAAGCTTCTTGTGAAGTAGAGAGAATTTTCATATTGTCTGAAGAATGTTTCAGTACTAATAGCACCTGAGAAATGACCTGACAAAGTAATCTCTGGCTTCTTGGAAGACCTTGAAACATCTTTTCAGGCTTCAGCAAAGCTCGGCAAACATGAAAGAACAGCATTGCCAAGTTGCTTGCAATGTGCCTAGGAAAGGGGACAATGAAAATTAGATTTCTTTTAAAACCCATTCTATGCTGGGGTCAATGAAGCCAACTTGTAACTATTGCTTTGGTGAAATTAGTGAACTGAACACTACGTAAGAATCTTGTTGTGAGCATCATATTGCACCATTTGCTACTTCTCATTGCTCAGTAAAATTAGTTCTAGCAGGTTTGATATTTTGTTATTATTTTGAATGCATCAGCTCCTATGGTACAGTTCCATTGGTTCATTGTGGAAACAACAGTTGTCTGTAATCCCAAACAGGCTTTTCTTTACTTTGGTGGGCTGATGGCATTCTCATATTGATGGGCCACCCTCATCTTCCCAAGTGCCATCAGGGATCATAAATGCTGGCTGTTCGCACACTCCATGAATACATTTTTATAAAATGGATTTAAGGTTTTGGTGGTATCAATTAAATTTCATCATTTGAGCCCTTCCCTTACATTACAGCCTTGTTGATGACGAAAGCTAATCAATTTACCAGTATATCCAAATGAATGCAAACAGCACAATAATTTTACACAATAACTACTAATTGCTTCTGGATGATATATTTATTGCCCTTGTGTTGTCATTAGACCAAACAAATTGCCAACAAACACTGAAGCTGAGGTAACATTTTACAGTTAAAAGTGTGATTTTAAAATGAGAAGCAAATAGCATAAGTAGCACATTCCAAGTTATTACAGTCTGATTTTTGTAAACAGACAAGTACAATAAAGTCCGTGTTGTCAGATCCCAAGTATTTGGAATTCTTGTGTAACCAGCAACGGAGATTCAAAAGGGGAATTCTGGACGCTTGGGATCCCGATAAGGGGGATTATGCCAGGAAGGGAATAATGGATCAGATGCTTTATTGAAACTAGTTGAAGACATACCTTGAAGCTCACACGGAGAATTCCCAGATTCAAATGGGAACCATTGGATTGTGCTGCTTGTTTTTAAAATACATGTTTAGCTTGTGACAGCAACGAGTATTGCTCAAGCAACTGACTGGCGGATTCGGGTAACGGCCTATGCCTGCCATTTAACTGGGAGATTTCGGTATAAAGCATAAAAAAAATTCCTCCCCAGGTCAAGTCACATTGCTGCTGCTTTTTGCAGTCATTAACCTGTCTCTTCCCGTTTTGAATTTTCAGGTTCTCTTTTTATATACTTGATACATTTTCTGTTTCAATATACAAAATTCACATTTTTTCTGTGTTATTAACTTAAGTTCATTCGGTAAAACTCTGATTGGACATCAAATTATGTTCATCCAATAGCCAAATATTCTTTGGGAGTCAGGGCAACTGGTTCAATTTAAATGTTAGACTGTTGCTATAAGGAAAGAAAAATATAATGTAAAGGTATTCATAGCCAAATAGAAGCTTTGATAAGAACACAAGATGTAGGATCTATTTAAACTGTATTTCCTTGGTCTGTACCACGTCCCTTGATCCTGAGTGTTGAAAAGTCTGCTGATTGTATCTTGAGAAGAAACTGAGTATCTAAAGTCATGTAAAGTATAAATTACAAAGATTCACATGCTTTGAAAGGCAAAATTTCTCCTTTTCTCAATTCTAACAGGCCAATCCCTTAGCCTGAGACAATGGCATTCGAAGTAGCTTCTCCTGACTCCGATAAAGCACCTACATGCTCAGGCCTTTAAAAATATTAATCACCTGTCATTCTTTGAAATAATATAAATGAAACAAATCAAAATAGTAACAGTTGCTTGAGTTTGTGGAATACATTCACAACACTTCATTAGAACATTACATTGTGGATCTAAACAGGTTATTTTAGGCTTTGTTTTGAGTAATGAAACAACTTAGTAATTTCATTGTAGGAGATCCTCTGGGCAAGACTGATCATAATGAGAGAATTTCACATTGAGTTTGAGTGGCATGTAAGTTCACATGCTTTAGGTGTGAATGGCTTTTATATGTTAATATTCAGAAGGTTTTGGGTTTCTCTGTTTATGAAACAAATAATTAATGTATGTACAACAAACACCCATCTAGTAAAACCTATCTGGTTCACTAATATCTTTCAGGGAAGAAAATCTGCTATCTTCAACTGGTCTGGTTTACGTGTGGCTGCAGACCCACAGCAATCTGGTTGACTCTCAGTTACCATCTGAAATGGCCTAGCAAACAATTCAGTTCTACCAGTTGCTACAAAGTCTGAAAGAAATGAAACAGGACAGATCACCTGTCATCAGCCTAGGCACTGGAAAAGACAACGGCAGAAACAGCCCTGTTGACCCTGCAAAGTCCTCCTTATTAACATCTGACTAGTGCCAAAATTGAGAGAGCTGTCTCACAGACTAATCAAGGAACAGCCCTTCATAGTGATACTCACAGAATCATACCTTACAGGTAATGTCCCAGATACCACCAACACATCTCTGGATACGTCCTATCCCACTGGCAGGACAGACTGAACAGAGGATGTGACACAATGATATACAGTTGGGAGGGAGTTGCCCTAGGAGTCCTCAACATTGATTCCAGTCCTCATGAAGTCTCATGGCTTCAGGTTAAACATGGGCAAGGAAACCTCCTGCTGATTACCACCGACTGCCCTCCGTAAGCTGATGAATCGGTACTCCTCCATGTTGAACAACACGTGAAGGAGGCACTGAGGATGGCAAGGGCACAGAATCTGGGTGGGGGATTTCAATTTCCACCGCAAAGAGTGGCTTGGCAGCAGTACTACTGATCAAGCTGCTTGGGTCTTGAAGGACATATTTGCTAGACTGGGTCTGCAGCAGGTGTGAGGGAGCGAATAAGATGCAAAAACATACTTGACCTCATCCTTACCAATCTGCCAGGTGCAGATACATATGTCCATGACAGTATCGGTAAGAGCGACCACTGCATAGTACTGTGGAGATGAAGACCCACATTGACATTGAGAATAACCTCCATTGTGTCATGTGGCACTATCGCTGTGCTAAATGGGACAGACTTGGAACAGATCCAGCAACTCAAGATTGGACATCTGTGAGGCACTGTGGGCTATCAACAGCAGCAGAATTGGACTTCAGGACAATCTGTAACCTCATAGACTGGCATATCCCCCACTCAACCATTACCATCAAGCCAGGGGATCAACCCTGGTTCAATGAAGAGTGCAGGAGGGCATGCCAGAAGCCGCACCTGGCATTCTGAAGATGATGTGTCACCTGGTGAAGCCACCAAACAAGACTATGTGCATGCCAAACAGCATAAACAGCAAGGGTAGACAGAGCTGTGTGATCCCACAACCAATGGACCAGATATAAACTTTGCAGTCCTGCTACATCCAGTCGCAAATGGTGGTCGACGATTAAACAACTCGGTGGAAGAGAAGTCTCCACAAATATCCCCGTCCTCAATGATGGATGAGCCCAGCACATCAGTGCAAAAGATAAGGCTGAAGCCTTTGCAGCAATCTTCAGCCAGAAGTGTCAAGTGGATGATGCATCTCGGCCTCCTCCAGTGGTCTCCAGCATTACAGATACCAATCTTCAGCTAATTCGCTTCACTCCATGTGATATCAAGAAAAGGTTGAAGACACTGGATACTGCAAAAGCTACAGGCCCTGACAACATTCCAGCAATAGCACTGAAGACTTATGCTCCAGAACTTGCTGCTCCCCTAGCCACGTTGTATCAGCACAGTTACAACACTGGCATCTATCCGACAATATGGAAAATTGCCCAAGTATATCCTGTGCATAAAAAGCAGGACAAATCCAACCCGGACAGTTACCACCCCATCAGTCTACTCTCGATCATCAGTAAAGTAATGGAAGGTGCCATCATTAGTGCTATCAAGCAGCACCTGCTCAGTGATGCAGTGTTTGGGTGTCGCCAGGGCCACTCAGCTCCTGACCTCATTACAGCCTTGGTTCAAACATGGACGAAAGAGCTGAATTCCAGAGGTGGGGTGAGAGTGACAGCCCTTGACATCAAGGCTACATTCGACTGAGTGTGGCATCAAGGACCACTAGCAAAACTGCAATCGATGAGATTCAGGGAGAAAACTCTCTTAGTTTGAGTCATACCTGACACAGAGGAAGATGGTTGTGGTTGTTGGAGGTCAGTCATCTCAGTTCCAGGATATCTCTGCAGTGGTTG